GGGGGGGGGTCCTGCTGCTTTATAATTTTTAGTCCTTTCCAACTTTTTCACAGTCAGTATGTATTACTCCGTAACTCAGGAAAAGTACTTTAATTATGTATAAAATTTAGGTGATAAAATGATCATATTTTGGGTCTTTAGAGATAGAGGGGGAAAAATATCTTGAGAGTAAAGCATATCCTGTTTTTTGTTTTTCCAGAACAGCCAATCTTTTCTGACTTGTGCTACAAAGTAAACTCATCAGTTTGAAGTGTAAAGACAAGATCCCAGGCAGGAAACCAGAATCACAGAAGGCTTCATATTCAATCCAGAGTGAAGGCAAAGTGAGTGAAATGGTCTTAATGGTTATTGAAACCAAGCTGTAACAGTCTAGTGAGCTTCGACCTTTCCAGTGCCACACCAGGGCCCTCCCACCTCTATTACTGAACACTTTTTAAAAATTTCCAAATTATTTCTGTTACCTTCCATTTTATTGAAAAGTAGGATAACACTTTAATTTATCTGTGCACAGGGCCATTCATTTAACAAATGTTTAGTAAGCACCTACCAAGCACCAGGCCTCCAATACCCAGCAAGACCTGGTCCTTACCTTTCAGGAGCTTTGGGTCTAGTTGATGGACATGCGTATATAAACAGCAATGTTTAGAGAATTATTTCGGTAGGTCCCTCAGTAGACAGACTTACAGCAGCCAATGGGACACAAAGGAGTAGCCAGTTCTGTTGCCGCAAGAGAACCGTGCGAAGGAGGAGGCAGGAAAAGCTTTGCAGAAAATTAGTTATCTGGGCTGGTTATGAATCTTTAGCTTATAAGTGTCCTTAATGTGAAACTTTTTTTTCTGTATTCTCTGACACATTAAGGGATTGCTTTGTGATTTCTATCTTCATTGATAGGTGCAATGAATTTATAACATTCAAGTCCTGTTTCACCATATTATAAGGACTGGCCAAAATTTAAAAATATATGTCCTTTTATCAGGTATCATTGAAATTATAAAACATGTTAAACCTTAAACTTTTTATTTTTACTTAAAGCATGTAATTGTACAATCATTCCCTAGCCTTTAGGTGTTGGGCTACTGTGTGGGTGCTCTGATTGAAATTACTCATTGTTTTTCTTGCATTAGCCCCACTCTTGATATATTGGGTTTAAGATTTCTAGTCTTTGTTTTTCTACAGCGGGGAGAGAGCTAAAGATACTTGTAAAACCGTATCACTGTCTTTTAGGCTTTACAATTTCTTCCTCATCTTTTACAGTTTTCTAGCTTGCAGCTAATTTAACATCAGTTTTTATTATTTATTTTTAAGTGACCTGCCTTTATAGTCTTTTCAAACTATTCAACTTTATTTTTAATTAATTTTTTTATATAACTTTTCATGTCCTTTTTTATTTGTTTGGGGTTCCCCCCCACTCATATTTCATTGTTTTGAGGCAGTAAATACATTTGAGAAGAAATAAGTGATTCTAAGCATACAATTCAACCTTCTGTACTGTTTCATTTTCAAAATGCTAGTCATGACCCAGTGAATTTATTTCAACCCAGTAAACTGATATGAAGAATCACAATTTGAAAAATATTGTGTTAAAGAGTAGCCTCCTAGCCTCCTGTACACCTGATATCAGTGGGGGTTAGAGAGGGATAGAGAGTGAAGGTTCATCCAGGGAGCTGGTTAGGCAGTGCTCTGGTAAGAAGGCTTCTAACTGTATTAAAATTTTATTGGATTAAATTCTGGGTCAACCCGTAGGGTTTGGAAATCTCATTGTACTCAAATTTTGACTGTTGTGGTTTCAGTTTTAAAGAAACCTGACCTGGATGTAAAACTCTCAAGCTTAGAATTAGTGTTAATGGCCCACAGAGTTCATGTTACATATTTAACCAACCATAACTGAGCCATTTTAAGTCCATTTGATTATATCTTTTTTTATGGATAGAGTAAGGAGATTAATTGATAAAATGTCTAAATTAATCTAAGAAAACATTTTTCCCAGTTTATGACAATGTCTGAAGCTTCTGAGATCCTCCACTGAGTCTTAGCCCCATATTCTTTTTAGGGAAATAAGACCCAAAGCTATTTGATGAAGCCAGAAAAGGCTATTGACAAGCAAGAATATTTAAGTTAAAATCAAGACCTTCTTTCTCCTCATTGGAGGCTCCCAGATACAAAAGTTATTTGGCTCTCTTGTCAGAGAGCTTAGTAAAGGCAGGTGGGTATTTTCCTGGGTTGGCAGCTTTATTTACTCTGGCTTGTAGGATGAGCTCTCAGAAGTTTACCACTTTTCAAAAATGTCTATTGTGTAGGGAAGATGGACCAGTGAAAGGATGGACTGTCTGTGGCCAAATATCTGGGAATCCCCACCTGCCACTCAGGTATCTCTATCCCCTTTGTAATGAGGGCGCACAGTATGACATCCATCATTTTTGAGGTTGTCAGACCTGGAGCCTGAGAAGTAGGTATGGTGTGGAGATCGTTGGGAAACGGGGCTGGTGAGGGATGTGCATGAGGAACATCTCGTGGCTTCACTATCTGTTTTTGTGAATCTCCTAAGATGGAGCTCCCTTTCGTAGTTATAGAGAGGACACAGTAATGTCAGAGAGAGGAGCCAACCAATTCTGCAAACAGGCCTAATGAGGGGTCATCACCGTTGTGTAGTCCCCAAAACTCACACTGTCAATATAGTGACCAGACTCTCAGGAACTGATTCATGCTAGCCTGACTCACTGAAGACTCTTAAGTGAACAGAATCCCTGTTCACAGTGGGGACATTCATCTCCAGTGACCAGAAGACTCAGGGATATGTTTTCCAGGACCATCACTGCTAAATTTTGGGTACTTGGGGACACTTCTAGTAACTAGAAAGTTGTTTGGTGATCTCAAAATCACAACAGAGAAAGGGTCAGTGTTATAGGTTGAATTGTGTCCCAATTCATATGTTGAAGTCCTAACTCCTAATACCTTGCGATGTGACCTTATTTGGAACTATTTCCACATTCCTTGCAGATGGAATTTTTTAAGATTAAGAGTAGAGTGGGTCCTAATCCAATCTGACAGGTGTCCTTGTAAAAAGGGAAAATCTGTACACACACACACATGGAAGGAGGGTGTCATGTGAGGATGAAGGCAGAGATTGGGGTGATGCATCTACAAGTCATGGAGCACCAAAGATTGCCAGCAAACCACCAGAAGCCAGGGGAGAAGCATGAGACAAATTCTTCCTCACAGCCCTCACCCAGAAGGAACAGATCCTGCCAACAGCTTGATCTCAGACTTCTAGCCTCCAGCACTTTGAGACACTAAGTAGTTTAAACCAGCTAGTTGGTTTAAACTTTTTACAGCAGCCTTAACAAACTAACACAGGTGGTTTTGCAGACTATTCCACATTGCAGAGCTTGATGAATTATCTCATAACCCTGGCTAGGCACCAGATTATCTGTAATCCCTACATCTAGTCTTTGTCCTTTGGACAGTCCTAGAAAAACACTCCCCAAATTTCGCTCTTTGGGTTTCCTTTTCCTAAATGCAAGAACATCTTCTGTTTATACATTCTTTCTTCTGTCAGCTTAATACCACTCATTACATCTCAATTCTCTGTCACAGTATAGTTATGTTTCCCAGTACACCTGTGTTGCTCCTGTCAAGCATTTTACATATATTCCCAACTATTTTCAGTTTTGTTTTGTTTTTTAAATATGTCTTTATTGATTTCAGAGAGAGGAAGGGAGAGGTAGAGAAAGAGATAGAGACATCAATGATAAGAGTCATTGATCGGCTGCCTCCTGCACACCCCCTGCTGGGGATCGAGCCTGCAACCCAAGCATGTGCCCTGACCTGGGATCAAACCGTGATCTACTACATCCTAGGTCAATGCTCAACTGCTGAGCCATGCCTGGCAGGGCTATTTTCAGTTTTAGTGATAAGAAGAATCACCTGGGGGCTGCTGATTTAAAAAATAAAAATAAACAGGAACAAGAAAGAGAAGAACAGATTATGACCCCACCCCTCAAAATTTTGATTTGTAGTTTTGTGATGGGACCCAAGAATAATCACCTTCAATAAACACTACAAGTGCTGTTAACCTCATTATCTGTCAGTTCTTACCAGTTTCTTTCTTGGAGCATAATCTAAGCTCTGGAAACACCCAGCATAGTCCAATTTAGTAGGTCCTAGTCCTAGCTTTAAGGATTTAGGCACCATCTCCCTCCCCCCACCCAAGACTTCAGAAGTAGAGTGAGTGTCCAAGTCAGTCCAATGCTTTTGTTCATTTAACAAAAATTTTAACCACCTGCTATGAACTAAATACTAGTCTAGCGTCTGAGGACACATCAGTAAAACAAATAGACAAAACTCCCTTATATTCTAGCTGTGAGGAAATAGTCAATAAAACAATAAATATACGAGGTGAGCAGTACTGTGGGAAAAATAAGTAGGGGAGGGGATCCTGAGTGCAGAGGGTCTGTAGGCATAGCAATTTTCAATGAGGTGTCCTGGGTAGGCCTCACTGACAAAGTGACCTAAAGGTGATCCATGTAGCTCTCCAGAAGAAGAGTGTCCTGGGCAGAGGGGACAGCCAGTATAGAGTCCCCAATCATAAGCTGAGCACACCTGGCATATTAGTAGAAATAGGAGGCCATTGTGGCTGGAGTGGAGTGAGGGTGGGGTGTCAGGAGCTGAGGTCAGAAAGGTTATAGGGGAGCCAGGTCACGCCCTTATAGGTAGTTGGCTTTTACTTGGTGAGATGGGGAGCCATAGGAGGATTCTGAGCAGTGATATGATCTGACTTTCATTTGTAAACTATCACTCAGGCTGCTGTAGTGGAGACAGGGGCAGGAGCAGGGAGACCAGTTGGGAGATGACTCTAGTAATCCAGGTGAAATGCTGATGGCTGGCAATAAGGTGGGTAGCAGCGAGATGCTGAGAGGTGGTTGGATGCTGGATATATTCTGAAGGTAAACCCAACAGTTTTCTGATAGATTGGATGTGGAATGTTGGAGAAAAGAGATGTCAAGGAGGATTCTAATCAGGGTAAATCTTGGAATTCTTGCTTGGAAAGCTGAGCAGAAGCATCCCTCCAAATGAGGAAGCATGCAGCCCTCGCATTGCTGGCAGCCGTCCTACGCCCATGAGGAGAGCCAGCCTGAGAATGGAGCCAATGCCGTGTTTGGCAGGGCAGAAGGGCGGAAAGAAATCGCCCTGAGAGCAGTGCAGAACCACTAGGTCCACACCTGAAGCCTAATCCACTTTTACACTTCTAGTTACTGGAGCCATTGAGTCCCCTTTGTTCCTTTGTTACTTGCATCCAAAACATGCTTACTGCAACTCTGGTGTGACTCTGAGATGTCTCTCAGATGCACTATTTGCCTAAAGAAACTTTCACAGTTCCACCAGAGTTAGTCTCCAGACTTCAGGGAAGACTTTCTCAAAAAGTTCTTT